TACTTAGTTAAATAGTAAAGGTATAATAATAAAAATAATTTTTAAATATTATAAAAAAATATAAATAAGGAAATAAGGGATAATTATAAAAAGGAAAAAAAATAAAGTTTAATTTAATAATATAAAATTTTTTATTTTTAAAAATAAGGTATAAAGGTTAAAAGGTATAGTAATAATATAATAATAATTATATAAAAGAAAAAAAAAAGCTAAAATTTAAACATTTTTATCTTTATTTTCGTTTTTATTATTATTATTAATAATAAAAGGGGTTTATAAAGTAATAAAGTTTTATATAAAAGGAGGTTAATAATTATATAGCTAGGGGTAAAATTTTTTTTTATTTTTATTTATAACCTTTATATATTTTTTATAAAACTTAATAAAGGTTTTAATAATAGCTTTAATAGTAATAGTAATATATTTAAGGGTTAAGAATTTATACTTTTATTATTTAATAATAGTTTTAATAGTAATAATAATAATAGTAATAGGGAAAAGGGTAGTATAATTCTTTTTAGTTTAAAAGGTTTAAAGAATAATTAATTATACTTTTTTAATTTTTTATAACTTTTTAAAAGAAGGTATATAAATAATTAATAAATAATTAATATTTATATTAATAAAAGTAATAATAATAAAGTAAAGGTATATAAGTTTAAAGCTATAAGTTTTAAAAGGGTTAATAAGTTAAAAAAATTAAAACTTATATTATAACTATATAATAACTATAAAATAATTATATAAAAGAGGGGTATAATAATATATAAAAATATATAACTTTTATTTATATTTATATTAAATATATTTAATTATTATTATTATATAAATTCTTAATATTAATTATGTAATAATAAAGTAATAGGTTTATTTATATTTATTATTAATATAGATAAGCTTTTCTTTTTCCCCTTTAAAGGTATCCTACTTTATTAAAGTATTAAAGCAGCAGTAATAAAGGATAATATAAGTATTAAATTACTTTAAATTAACCTTATAATAAAGCAATAGCTATATAATAGTTAAATAAAATATATAATATTATTATTATTATTATTATTATTTTACTTAAAGTTAATAAAAGGCTTAAACCTTAAATATAATATTAGATTTATAATAAAGTAACTATTATATACTTATTATTAATAATTAACTTAAAAATAAAAATAAAGGAATATATTTATTTATAGGAATAAAAGTTAAAAAAATTAAAAAATAGGTAATTAATATTAAAAGCCTTTTAATAAAAATATAGGATTTATAATAATAAATAAGGTTAGGGTTAAAGAAAAAAAAGGGAAAAAGAAAAAAAAAATTAATATTAAAAAGGTTAATAATATATTAAAAGGTATATAATAAATAAATAGCTTTAAAATTATTAAATATTTAAATATATAAATAAAAATACTTTTTTAATTATTACCTATTTTTTATATATTTACGATTTTATTATTAAGCTATATTAAATAATACTTTTTATAAGCTACCTTTTATTAATGCCTTAAGGGTAAGGTATTTATAAAAGGAGGTACTTTATTAAGGAATATTATAATATTAAGGTAAAAGTTACCCTAAAGAGTAAAAATAATATAAAAGTTAATTATATAAAGGTATTTAAGCTCCTTTTTTATATTTAAGGAGCTAGGAATTAATAATATTAAGCCCTTACCTATACTTTTAACCTATTTACTTTTTACGTACTTCTTATTAGTGATCTAGCCTTACTTTGGGATAAACCTCTATGACACCTCGAAATCATAGATAACAACTCACAGCTAAGACTTCTTAGTAGCTACCATATGAGATTCACTCCGCTACGACATATAGATTCTGCTGTGATGATTTGCATTTTTGGGTCGGACTCTGCCGAATGTCGATCTAGCTATGAGTTAGTAAATGCATAGATACCGTCACTAGTTTAAAGGCCTCCCTCGGCCATACGTCAGCTCGCTATAAAAGCTGAATCTACGATATTAGGAGGGATGAAGCGCCTGAATAAGGGCTGGCGGCGGTTTCATCAGCCACTCTGCCAGCAATTCGCAGTCGTGTATAGCAGCCAACCAGCATGATTTACGATAGTCTGGGAACTGCTAGGCTATCCCGAAATAGGGGCTACATTAGGGTCTTAGCAGGGAACCGTTGTCAGATATCAATGGCCGGTCACCGCAGGCCGACTTAGACTCAGTGACCTTATTCCTCCAAATATAAATACTCTCTATCTTCTACTTCTTCAAGCTAGAGAAACCTGAATTTTTATTCTTCTTTTACTTATCGCACTGAAAAAAACACTTTCAATCTTTCACCCGTGGCCTACCATCTCTCACAATGCCGAATACTCTAGTTCACTACTGAACCAGACGTACCACAATGTAGCAGATGCTAGGGAACGCTGGACAGTTCGCAAACTAATTCGTATAGTGATCGTGGATCGTAAGTCCTATCTTTCCTACTCCTGCCCTTCATATCAACTAAGCTAACCACACATAGTAGCTTCATTACGATACTTGCACGCCGGCCAACGAAGTCGGGCAATGTAACACTAAAGAGCTTAAAGATATTAACGGGCAGAAGTCGATCCACATCCACAGGCTTTTCGACCCTTGTAGGGCATGCCAAAGGACTTTACAGTCGCCTACAAAGTCGCAGAATTATAGTAAGTCAAGTTCTCAAATAGCTGGCGTTAATATAATCTTTAATGTCTGGATTGAACGAATATTCTGCAAGGAATGCTTAAGTCCGGATCAATATACAATTATATCTGGCCCTTGCCAGCTACGAGATGTTGTAGCAAGTTTTGCGACTTGTGTGAGTGCAGACGTGTGTGCACTAGGGGGCTGGGAGGCGCTGCTGGAAAATACGCCTGACTTCACGATGGATCTGGTTCGTCAGATGACAAAACGACATCCCATCAATCATCTAACAAAGCCCAAAGCATCACACTCTTTTTGAGACAACCTAATTCGAGCCATTAATTTTCCCTATAGCCCTAAAGTCTACACGATGTAGCGCAATGTACCTCGCGTCGCAGGCCAAGTCAACAGGAGTCACTTCTGGACCCGGACTCAGCGCCATTATGGATTTACATTTGGCTCCCACCAATTGTTCTAGGCAAGCATCAGTGGTTTAGTGGTAAAATCCATCGTTGCCATCGATGGGCCCCGTGTTCGATTCACGGCTGATGCATACTTTTTCTTTTCTTTTCTTCCCCAATTCTGCCCGTTGTATTTTTCACGCAGTTCCCTTTTCGAACTGTTGATTCATTGCTTTGATTTCAATGCCGGCATAGCATTAAAATAAAATAAAAACTTCTCATGTTCTACCAATTTCTTCCGCGCACTTACTTCTTCGATGCTGGTAATGTATTGCCTATTGCCTAGGCTAGGATATCCCCATCTCGCCCTAATATGCATGATGCAACCCTTTCTACGGGCATATGTGTTGCATGCAAGAAACTAATGCCTTCCCATTTGGATTGCATCTATTAAGAAGTACAAGAAATCAATTTTCACGGCTCTGCTACTATTACGCATAGCTAGCAAGGAGACTTATTCAGCAAGGGCCTGTTGCGATTTCCGATGCAAGTGAGAAATGCAGCTTCCATCTCGTGACAACTACCTAGGTACCCATAGCTTCATGGCAATGACAGATCTCAAGACGTGCCAATTATCCACTATAGACCATGTCACTTCAATTATTATACCGAAACGAACATGGGAACATTTTCATGGATGCATGAAACATCTGCTTATATCCTTTAGTAGGTCACCGAGTTGCAAGCCAGTGAGGACGCCCGTTCAGAGTTAGTCTCATCTATTCTCAATCTTTTGGCTTGATCACCCCTGATCATGGGCAGATCTAGGAGCTCCGATGCCTTGTTACGCGTTCCTTACATTAGATCTATGTTATAGTACACAGGTGATCCCCAATTCAGGGAGCTCATCCATTTGCCTTTGACCGCTTGTTCCCCCAACGCCAGAGCAAATAAACACACATAATAACAAGAGAAAGCTCGAGAACTTGACAGCTAAGTCGAGCATATAGCCTAGCGACACCGCTATGACAACTAGTGCAGGCACTATAGCACCTTCACAGCCGCGAAGAATGGGTTAGCGAGGAGCTTCTCGTCCGCCTTGACGAGCTCCCGCATACGCGAAATCATCTCTTCCTTGCTCATCTGGCCTCGTTTGACTTCGTCTTTCCATTTCACGAGAACTTCTTTAAGCCTTGCGCTGCCTTCTTCAACGTCTTGCTTGTTGTATTGTAGTCCCAAACCATCCTCATGCTTGGAAGTGAAGTCCACCGATGTACGCTCCGAACGAACGTAAAGCCGTGTATTCGCTGGCCCAATTTACCAGGGGCTGTTCCCTAAAGTTGCGATGTTCCCTGTATATATTCTGACTCTTTTCTGCGCGCTTACATAGATAGATTCTAGACCAATAGAGCATCTAAAACCACTCTGCATGATCCCTCCTACCGGAGGAGGCCTGTGAGGCCCACCTCACTGCGAGAAATTAGTTCGAATCTTCAAGGTAGTAATGATGGAATTATGCTGGACGCCCTTTTCAATGAATCTGCCAAGGTAGGTGCGTTGCTGTTACGGTACGTATATAAGTGACTGCAGATAACCAAGTCTCCGACTTGATAATTTTCTCTTTATAATGTTATGGCTATAGCTGCAGTTCTAGTTCCGTGACAGCATCTTTGCTCGAAGAGCCATAATGCAACTCAATGTAGACTATGCATGAATTTCGGGTATGTTCTACGTCTCAACTAGGTTAGCAAGCCGCGCGAGTTATTCACTTTTATTTTATCCCTACAAAGGGGGTTAGTTTTTGAAGGTGGTCGGAGGTTTTTTATGGCTCCTTTAAATTTGGAGACTCAACCACGCAGTAGCTGACACGTACAACACGCTTTAACAGCCCACTAATCAAGCCATATTGAAACGTTTTAACCATATAAATAGATAATTAAGCTGTAATAAATAAAAAAGATCTTGCATTCTAAAATTGAGGTGCTGGCGTTTCTTCATCCCCCCTTTTCCCACCCTTCACATTCAACCTCCCAGCCAGAGCCGTATCGACTATCAGACCCGCCAGCGACTCAATGCTTGTTCTAGTATCCAGCAACTCTTGCATGTTGATGTTCGCTCCCAATGCCTGGTACAACCAATTACGTAGTTCAGCCGCAATCAGGCTATCAACGCCATGGTCAGCCACCGTCTTTGCCGAGTTGACATTCGCGATGTCTACGAAGAGCAGCTCGGCAATAGCTGCCGAGATGGCGTCTGTAACGGAGTCAACAATCCTGGATCGTTCTTCCAAAGATCCTGCAGCAGTGGCTGCTTCGAACTTCGCGCGAACGCGCCAGACTGATGATCTATTGCTGTTGTCGTCGCCTTTTTGCGCGGTTGCTGAAGAGTTGCCCGTGCGCTGTTCTCTCCGCGCGTCTTCGAAAGCTCGCATGATATGGGAGACGCGCGCATCGCTGTACCACCGAGGAACGGCACTTGAAGGATGATGCAGTGACCCGGCCTCCGTTTCGGCCTCGTCGTGCTCCATGGCTGCCATGGCACCAGGGTCCAGACAAGTAAGTATGTTAGAACTGGAAAGCGGATCCCCGACTCGGCTAGCGAAGGCGTCGCCATCACTGCCATTGTCGTCAAGCCTCTTATTATCTCGCGCGTCGTTAAGAAAAGCCGCTTCCAACCGCCCAAGAAATTCACTCTCAGAGAGCGCCAGCGCCCTATTCCGTGCGAACATATCTACTGTAATTGGGTCTTGGCCTACATCTCCAATACCCTTGATGAATCCAAAAGATATACTTGTGGCAGGCAGTCCAAGTCGTCGACGGTACCTTGCAAATGCGTCCTGGAATGCGTTAGCGGCAGTATAGCCGCTTTGTGTAGCCAATGCATAGATCGACTCCAGCGAGGTAATCATGACGAAGAAATCCAGTGGTATGTTGAGGGACACAGTCGCCTCATGTAGGTTCTGTGTTCCCTGGACTTTTGCAGACAAGCTGTTGCGCCATCGCGAGACCGTCAGTTTATTGAAGGAAATGTCGAGGTATGAAACGGCTGCGTGAATAATACCCCTGATCTGAACGGTTGAAGAGTTTGAAGCTATGTTCTGGATGAGACGAGTGACTTGAGATCGATTGCTAACGTCGCATTCTACAGGCCGAATGTTGACACCACGCCCAGTGAGCCTACTCACGAGGCTTTGTGCTGCAGAGGAGCTCGCCTTGATGCTGCGTCGAGATAGAATCACCAGGTTGCGGGCCCCGCGCTCGCACATCCAACGCAAAATAGACCTTCCGAGCCCACCGAGTCCTCCAACCACAATATAACAGGCCACAGAGTCGAACCGGAACTGCGGCTGTGATGGCGAAGAGGGCATTCTTACTAGCGTCTGTGGGTCTTGGAATGTGACCACCAGCTTACCAACATGTGTGCCCTTGGAGAATTTAAGTAGGACCTGATCAAGCTTAGATACGTCAGTGGCAGTGAAAGGATGTACTGGTCCGATCAGTCCATCGCGGGAATAGCTATGGACGGTTTGCATTAGCTCCCTCCCAAGCTCCTGGTTGGCCTTGAGAACAAGGGATAGATCGAAGGAAGAGAAACTGGCACATTTTTCGAAGGAACCCATTGCTAGAGCCTGGGAGTCCTGCACATCGGTACGCCCCACGTCAACAAAATGACCCAACGGTGCTAACGCCTGGATGGATGCGTCCAATACGTCTCCTCGAGCCGTACCGAGTATAACATCAAAGCCGCGACTGTCAGGCGTCATACGAGTGAGTGTTCTGTCAAGGGCGGATACACCGTCGCCAGATGACACAGCAATGACGTGCGATTCCGGTAGCTTCATCTCTCGGACCAGGAACTCGGCCTTCTCGGCTGTACCAACCATAGCAAAGACCTCAGCACCCTTAGCTCGAGCGAGTTGGATAGCTGCGAGCCCTAGTCCTCCAGTGGCAGATTGGATGAGGACTCTATGGCCTCGTCTCAAGCGAGCGACATAGTCGAATGCGTATACAGCTGTCATGTACACTAAAGGCATCGTTGCAACTTCGACGAGATCATATTTGGTATCAAGTTTCTGCGCGAACGCGGCAGGGACACGAGTGTAATTCCCGAAATGACCGCCACCCATACCGTACACGCGGTCACCAGCACAGAACAAGCTAGCCGCGTCGGCGCCCACGGCTGTCACAATGCCTGAATATTCGGATGACAGGTTGTCCGCATCAAAGCGGCCGGATGAGACGGCCAGGTCTTTCCAGTTAACACCCACTGCCGTGACTTTCACTTCGATATAATCAGATGGTATTAGGGCTAGTAACTCTGAGTACGGCCGAAAATACAAAGAGCTCAATATGCCGGGCGTAGAAAATGCTGCACGGACAGGACCTTGGGCTTCAAGTGGCTGAAGAGAGTAGCCTTCAGCTCGTTCGTGATTCTTGCCTGAAGTCGCTTCAGAAAACGATTGAATGGTATCGTCGGGCATCGCACGGCTCACCCAGAGGCACCCATCTTGCCAGACGTATTCATGGTCTTTTATTTCAGGGTTATAGTTCCTCTCTTCATCTTCACGATCGTAAGGTTCATCATTCTGTAAGAAAAGTTGATCCGCTATGCAACGGACGAGACCTGCAGAGTCGTAGGTGGAAGCATCCGAATCTTCATCAGAAACATCAATCGAGACGAACCGACCCCCGGGGTTCTCTGTTCCAATAGTCCGCATCAGTCCAGGGATCAGTGCCCCTTCAGGGTTGAGTCCCTTCATCAGGCCACAGAATGTTAGGCATACCAAGGTCGCTGCTGTGCGTGCTAGGTGCTGAAAAGTGGCTAGGTAGCGTCCTTCTATGTCGACTAGGAAGTCCTCTTTACCGACCAAGAAGACTACTACGCAGGCATCTGGAGATACCACACTCATAGCTCGGTCGAGTGGTGCAGGTAGAGGGTTTATACCACGCCGTTCTAGCTCCTGGCAGAGTTGGCCTAAAATAAGAGGACTGTGTTCCGGGCTATGGAGAAGATGAGCCTCAACACTTCCCAGAGCTTTGCTTACGTTTTCATTTCGCCACATGGATTCAATTTCCAGCAGGGTTGAGACCAGCGTTGTGGTTACATTATCCGGCCTAGGATAGTCATCTAAGACCAGTTCAGCGCCGGAAAACCCTGCCTCTTTCAGCACTCTATCCCATGCCTCCAAACTCATGAATGGACTGTTGACCCTGCCGTCGGGTATCCCATGCCAATACCCAGTTAATGTACCTAGAATAAGGCCAACTATTGGGCTGTCCTCGGTGGTATTTTCAACTAACACAAGCTTACCTTCTGGTCTAAGGAGTTTGCGGCAATTCTTGAGCGTCTGCAAGATGCTAGTTGTTGCATGTAATGCTTGTGAGGCTAATACAATATCGTACAGGGGCTGATAGCCCTGCGTTGCTGGGTCAGCCTCAATATCGAGCATAGAGTAACTGATGTCGCGAAAGTTGGCCATGGATGACTTCGCCGCAGCTAGGAATCCTGGTGAGATGTCAGTGAAGACGTACTCGCGATATCGCTTAATACCATTTAGGCTTGTGAGCGCATTCATGGCGACTCGCGTGGCACCACCGGTACCAGCACCAATCTCGAGAATGCGCATGTGTGGATTCGCATGGGTTAATCCATCTAAGACTCGCCAGAGTTGCGGGTAAGCGCTTGTCATGAAGAGACCGCGCTGGTATAATTCCATCAGGAGGTTGGTCCCGTCATCACCATGGATCATGATATCAACGCCAGTGTGACGCTTGGAGAGAATATCATCCATGTCATCGTATAGACATTTAGCTATTCGGGACTCAGCGATCTCCTTAGTTTCGCTATGTAGCCGGCTAATTGCTTTGTGTCGGTCTTGGGGTTCTAACTGTTTGGCATCGACCATCAGATGGTTTGTAGTTTCCTCCACGCTCCGCTTGATCCAGGCAGTAAAATGGCCTATGTCCCCCGAGATCTCTTGGGCTAGGGGAGCCTTATTATTGCTTTTTATAGAGCTCTCATAAACGTCCACGAGTATAGCACAAGCCAACCTGTCCAATTTCTTTATGGTATTGAGGCGTTGTATGTTTTCATCGGGCGGTGGGAACAGCGCACGACACGACTGGTAGTTAAGGGTGCGAAAATCGGGTTTCCATACCGTTCGAGCAAAAGGAGCTCGAAATGCTGAACAAATCCTTTGATTCCTGAAGTGTGCTTCGCTAATGTAGCTAACGCACCGGAGCCTCTCGATGTTTAGAATCACCTCATCGTTTCCGTCCAGCATCTGCAACTGATTTATGTATGCACCCCTGAGACCACGGAGCTCACCCTGTGCGGCAACCATAGCACTATTTCGGTCTCCGTTGTGAATAACATTTTTTATATATATTCGAGAGAAATTAACTGGTACGAAAGCGGTTGTGGTAGCTTCAACGGAGCCGCCGTAGCAGGCAATGAGCCCGAGCTGAAGAGCGCCATCAAGGGCTGTCGGGTGAAGTGCATACCGCGAGTCGCCTCCCTGGATCTTACCTGCAGTAGAATCCAGCGCTATCAAAGCTGAAGCAAGTTTTGCGTCTGGGTCAGCGCGGATGCCAGAGACTCCGAAATGTTGGACCGTAACCAAGTCCAATCGTGTTGAAGGCTTTATACCACGATCGTACATCAGCTATGCGGCCATCCATTGATGTCGTCTCGATCTTCTCAATCTTATCATGTACAGTCCCCAGTTCGATTTTGACTATTCCCGTACAATGCTCAGTCCACATGCTCTCGGTAGAATCAACACCGGATTGTCCGACCGAGCTGATTGAGAAACTTGCCCACGAGGGCGGTGCCATAGGCACATCGTCAGGTACATCCAAGCTTAAAATAATTTCAATGCCATGATCATCTTCTGGTAGTCTTAGGGCCGTCTTGATAGACACGTTACGAAGAGTGTAGCCAGTTGTCTTGGGGCGTGGTTCGGGCGACTCTTCGTAAATACGCAGGACGGCTTCAATAGCCAGGGCGATATATCCTGCAGCAGGGAATACCACATCTAATAGCGTGGTTAGTCCGTAGAGGTTAACAGAAGTGAAGACGAATACTTGTCCTTCGAAGATCCTGACTTACCCGGAAACAGTCGATGATCACCTAGCCACGGCAAGTCCTTTACACGCAGCACATTTCGCCACTGAGGCCTTAGTTTTGCAACACCTGGAATCTTGGAACCTAGTAAGACGTGCCTTGGAGCTTTTCGGAGACGAAATTCTTTGCTTGCACGGCACTCATAGTAGTTGACAGGTCCGTACGTATATTGGTATGGCGGGAGATCAACAACGATATGCCCATGCACGAGAGCACCCTGGTGGTTAGACTTGTCTTGATCCATACCACTATTTTGAAAGTCGACTGCGTTAACGGTAACCAGGTTAACTTTAGCATTCATACAATACAGCGCCCCAGCGAGCTGCAACATCGATTTGCATGCGTCTTCACCTCTCCTTAAAGTCGAACCGGCATACATGATCTCGCGTGGGTGTACACTTTTGATTACCTGCTCTAGTGGCCCTTTCAACGCCGAATGCGGGCCAATTTCAACGAGCAGATTGATGGGGCCATGATCTCCCTCCAAATGGAGCAAACTCAAGATGGCGTCGGAAAAGCGGACTGGGGACTCGAGGTTGGCCCTCCAGTAAGCTGCACTACCAGCTATGGTTGACGGTGGATCTTTGTCAGGGGTAACAGACGATACCCATGGCACACAAAGATACTTTTGCTTCTCATCAACCATTCCTGACTGTCTGACATGTAGATAACAGGAGGAAAGAGAATCTTCATACTCCTGACCGAGATCAACCATGTGATGCGAGTGATAAGCTATGCCCCCTGTTCTCAACAAGCGGTGGAAGACCCCATCGACAGCCAAACGTTTAGCAAGTGCTTCTATTGCCATAGCATCTCCCGAGATTGTGACACTCCCGGGAGAGTTGATAGCTGCAATTCTCATCTGACCATTGTTCAAGTCTTCGTCATTTAGGTATTCCAATTTCTGAAGCTGATCCGGCCCAAGACCGACTGCTAACATTGCGCCACTCCGATTGTTGTGCGCAACGGCACGGCCGCGTAAGTACGCGGCAATAATGGCGTCCGCGGCTGTTATACGCCCAGATGCATATACTGCAGCTATCTCGCCTGACGAGTGGCCGGCCACGGCGGTAGGGCATATGCCCCACGAGGCGAGTAGGTCAACAAGGCCAATCTGGATTGCAGTGCACACGGTTTGGGATATCAATGGTGTATGGATGAGATCTGAGTCGTAGTCGCACTTCAGAACACTTGTGATAGACCACGTGGGTGGAGGCATAGGCAGTGACTTTATGATATCGTCAAGGTACTCAATAGCGACGCGGAATACACGGTACTCGAAGAGCTGTACACCCATTCCGTGCCATTGGGCGCCTTGTCCGGTAAACACAAAGGCCACGTTAAGTAAATCTAGCTGGGGATTGCCCCTATCTACGACACGACATATCCTATATGGCAGGACGGGCCGTTTGGCAGCGAGAGTGTACACTACGTTTGCGAGTGAATATTGGGAGATGTCTCGGGAAAGCGCTTCAATATTAAGCCAGAGAGATGATTCGCTATGCGCTGAAAAAGGGAGCAGCACGAATTCGCGAGTGGTCGCATCAGTGGCTCTTATCATGCTCGGGACATTAATGATGGGACGATGAACCACGTCTTGATCCTGTGCCTCATTCTCATTGCCATTGAGAATCCTGTATCCATTATAGGGCTGGGAGTGGTTGATGACTTCAGCATCGTGATTGCGACTGCCACTATTGGGTTCAGAATTGGGATAGGTTTGTGCGTCGTACGACTCCAGTCTGTGTGAATGGTCAGCATGACAAATCGGTATAACTTCGAAAATTTCTCAGGGATGGCATACATCGCGTGTCCGTTGGCACCCCCAAACCCAAAACTGTTGATGCTAGCTCTCCGGAGCCTATGTTTAGGCCAGGCTATCACCTGTCTGACTACTTCCACGCCAGCGCCGGTGAGATCTATGCTTGGGTGTAATACCTCGATACCAATACTTGGGGGTATCTCGCCTGCCTCCATGGACAACACGACTTTCATGATGGCCGCAAGCGCACTCGCCCCTCCAGCGTGGCCCATATTGGTCTTAATAGACCCAATAAAGAGAGGGTCGGGGCTATCTGCGTCTGGACTCCTATCGGACGCAAAGATTTGACTGACGGCGGCCAACTAGATCGGGTCACCTGCTGGGGTGCCTGTGCCGTGACATTCAAAATACGTGGTTTCCGAAAAAGGGACCCCGGCATTGGCGTATGCTTTACGGATGACAGCTTCCTGGCCACCAGCGCTTGGCCGTGTGATGCCGCCAGCGCGACCGTTTGCGTTGACGGCGGTGCCCCGAATTACCGCGCGGATAGGTGATTCACTAGCAAGCGCTACCGGTAGTTGTTTGAGATAGAGAGCGGCGAACCCTTCACCGCGTGCATAACCGTCGGCAGACGCATCGAATGTGTGACACCTTGAGGTAGGCGAGAGAGCACCGAGTTTGTCGAGTGCGATCTGTAGGCTAGGATCCGCTATCCAGTTAGACGCGGCAACAATAGCCGAGTCACAGTCTCCGTTGCGGATCGCACTAACAGCTAAGTGCACGGCGTACATGGACGACGAACAAGCTGTGTCTACCGCAACACTTTTCGAAAAATTTAAGGATTAGCCATGGCACGAAGCTAAGGGTGACGCCATTTTCATTTGCATACCTCGGTCCCCGGAGATCAAAAACATGGCTGATTCGATTTGCCAATATGCTTGGGCTTGCGCCCGTTGTTGAATGCGGCTTCGCATATTCCCAATCACGCGCCTGGATTATCCAATGGTCGAGCGCGAAGTTTCCAACAAAAACACCAGTGTTTGACCCAGCGACGGAAGCCCACGTCTCGCCTGCATTCTCAAATGCCTCGTACACAACCTCGAGCAGCTTTCGCTGCGACGGGTCAAGGGTTTCGGCCTCACGCCCCGTGATGCTGAAGAAGGCGTGGTCGAACAGACGCGGATCCCCGTCAATAAGGAACGCACCTTCTGTAGCCATCGTACCGGGTCGTCCCGAATCCATATGGTAAAACCCTTCAGCTGAAAAGCATCGAGGCGTGGACATAGAGTTAAAGGAACAGAAGCCAGAGCGCTGCTCCCTCAAGAAAGACCACATCTGTCGCGGGGAGTTCACACCGCCGGGCCATCGACATCCTGTACTTTCAGTTAGTATAGCTTTTAGAGAGGTGGGCTTGATGAAATATAACTAACCCATGCCCACGACTGCTACAAGCTCATGGGCCTCCTTGCTAGACATTGGTGATGGCGACATGGTACCAAAGCGCTAATGGAGTTCGGATAGAAAAGTATTTCGAGCCCGCTACTGTTCGCTCTGAAGTATTTGTCAAGAGTAGTACATGTGATCCCATTAGATTATCTAGAAGTCTAAGTTACAATACAGTTATCTGGCTGGATGAAGGTCTTATATACAGATTCCCAGCATTCCAGGATGTGGAACGCAAGTATCACCGCCTTCCCTTTCTGACAGTATTCGGAACTAGGAGTGGTGGGCGGAAGGCATCCTGTCGTGACACTCCAGCCTTCTCTGCTAAGTAGCCCTCGGACTAACGCATATCCTTCACCCTCACATCGTGAAAGTATCATGCAATCTTGATATCTGGATATGGAGTCTCCGGATACAGGGGATTGCTGCATAAGTGCCTGATCCCCGGTGTTGTCTCGATAACGACGGCTTAGCGGCCCCTTCCCCCGTAACGGTTGCATCGCAATCCTACCCAACATGGTAGGACGCTGCAGTCTTTGTGGAAGAGCGTAAAACAATAGAAAGCGGCAGATAGGCAGATTGAACCTGGTATTATAAGTGATTGCTGCATACTCTTGACTTGTATTAGGTGGCACGGCCCACCAAAGATCCGAAAGCTGTGGTATTTATCATTTGTCTGGGTTCTGGGGGGTTCTTCCTCGATTTGTTTCTAGTCTCATCTCCCTTACGCACACTACGGCCTCACCGTCGCCCAAATCTGGTCTGAAAGAAAGACTGATTATCATGGACATTAAGGCAGCTCAGAGCGGTGAGATCTTAACTTATGGAAACGATGCTCATGGGGGCGTTTCCCTCATCACTCTTGCAGAAAGCATCCTAAAACAGAGTAAAACCATGACGAAGTTCTTTCACGATAATAACTTCGATATGCCTGAGTTTTCTCCTGGGTCAAGTCAACGTCTTACCACTGATGAGTTCCTGCATCTGCAGAGTAGCTTACGAACATCTCTTGAAGATCTTCAGTGGCTAGTCGAAGGCCCGCGCAGATATCTGCGGTCCCTGACCACGATGGGATATGACATCGCAGCCATGCAGATAGCCCTGGATTTCAACTTCTTCACACTCGTACCGCCAAATGGAGAAGTTTCCCTAGAGGATTCAGCACAGAAAGGGGAGCTAGATTTGGATCGAACGAGTCGGGTGATACGTCTGCTTATAACTCACCGAATCTTCGAGGAGAAACGGCCCGGTTATATATCACACAGCGCCAGTTCTCTTATTATGCGGGACGATGACGAGTTGAGATGTACTGTGCACTACTCGTAAGTGTTTCATAATTCAATCACCAAGCCCTAGTGATGCTATTTGGTTTGCCTTCAAAAGGCCTTAAAAGCTGATTTATGATACCAGATTCGATGAGATGCTTAAAGCGGCTGCGGAGTCGAGTATCAGTCTTAAGGAGCATCCTTCTGAGACGGACAGTACTCATTGTCCCTTTTTTACAAGACATGGACTACCAGTATTCCAGTTCTATGATAATCATCCCGAAAAAGCTGTGCGCTTTGCTAAGGCCATGGCGGGCGCAACAAGAAGTAATTGTTTTCCGTTTCCCACGTTGAAACGGTCTTTATAGGACTTGTAGATGCTGACCCTTCGATCGGAAGTGGACCGCCACATTACAGAACTGCGAGATTGTTTCTCTTGGGGAGAGATACAAGGCACTATCATAGACATCGGTGGCGGAAGTGGCCATATCTCGATATTTCTTGCTCGGGTAAGTAATTTCAGGTCCCAATCCGCGTCTAGCCTTCCCAATACATATGAACAGGCATCTTATCTTTTTTCTTCTTCTTACTTAGCTGTTCCCACATCTGAGTTTTGTCGTACAAGACGCCTCGACAGACATGCTTGCTGAGGGCCGCTCGCTCTTGACTGATGACGTCAAGGAGCGCGTCAGCTTCGTGCAGCAGAGCTTCTTCGAGCCGCAGCCACGTAGAGATGACGATCCCGCAGCAGCATACCTGCTGCGCCAGTGCACGCACAACTGGTGCGACCGAGACGTGGTAACCATGTTCCAGTCTGTTGTCCCGGGGCTGGAGTCGTCTGGGCCAGCTACACCTCTCCTCGTCAACGATATCATCATGCCCGAGCCTGGCGAGAGCTGGCCGCGACTCCTAGAGCGGGATATCCGTCAGATCGACATGATCATGCTCGTTAGCTATGGCGGCAAGCAGAGGACAGAGGCGGAGTTCGCGTCATTGCTCAAAGAGGCCGACGCCCGTTATGAGATACGTCGGGTGCATAGGACTGGGCCACTAGGATTGCTGGAGATTTACCTGAGAGGTGCCTAGCGAGTTAGAGGAGACAGGGAGGCAGTGATGTTGCATCAGGTACTTGAGGTAGGTACTCAATGTAGTGGAGAAGGGGTTGAAGTACCGAGAATAGTGAAGACGAAACCAACAGGGGCAAGGATGATCTACATAGCACTCCTTTTTGGACCAACTACCTCCTGCGTAGGTACCGAGAGGTATGGGCTTCTGGTATGGGCAGGGTTGGAAATTAGTAATACTACTGTAGTATTTAGTAATACTACTACTACATGTAGTGTAGTAATAGCACTTACTAATACTACTGTAGTTTAGTATTGCTATTATTAAATACTACAGTAGTATTATTATATACTACATGTAGTATTACTAATTTATTAATGTAGTAATTTTTTATATATAAAAATATATAATTTTATTATTATTAATGATTAATAAATATAAAAGTATATAGAATTCTATAAAAATTAAAAGAATTAAAAGGAAGTTAATAATCTTTTTATAAAATTTTATTAAATTCTATTAAATTCTATAAAGTTTTATAATTATTAATAGCTTTAATAAGTATATAAAGTTATAAAATAACTATTATTAAATATAAAACTTTATAAAAGTATATAGAACTTAATAAAAATTAAAAGAATTAAAAGGAATTTAATAAAATTTATATAAAGTTATAAAATAACTATTATTAAGTATAAAACTTTATAAAATTTAATAGAATTTAAAAGAATTAAAAAGAATTTAATAGAATTTTTATTAAATTCTATTAAATTTTATAAAGTTCTATACTTATTAATAGCTTTAATAAGTATTATAAAGGGAGTTAAGGGGATAACTAATAGGTAATAATAATAAATTAATAAACCTATACCCTTTTATTAGGAATTATAAAATAATATATAAAAAGCTTTAATTAATAAATGTAAAAGGTAAAGCAATATATATTCTTTAAGGTATATTATGGTTTATTTATTAGGTTTCCGTTAATTTAGTTTATATTAGGATAACCTATATCTTATATATATAAAAGTAACGAGAAAAATTAAAGTAAAGCGTCCATTATACTTTTTCTTTTATAATATTTATACCCTTATTCCTAGCCCTATTATAATTTTCCCTAATTATTTTCCTATTATTTTTAATAAATAATAACTTTATACTTCCTTTTTTCTATTTATTAATTTATAATATTTTATATATTTAATTTTTATCCTTTTATTTTTTAATTTATTTAATAGCTATATTTAGTTTTATTAACTTAATCCCTTTTCCTTATTTTTTATTTAGGGCTTAACGTTACTTTTTATAATTAATGCTTTTTTTTATATTTATTTAATTAACTTTATTTATATAGGATTTATAATCTTTTTATCCTTTTTATTTATAAAGTATATTAAGCATTAATTTATATTTAATAATATTAAATAAATTTCCTTTTTAAAATATAAATAGTACTTATAAATTAAAGAACTATTAATTAATTAAATATTAAATATAGTTAATATTTAACTTTAGCATTAAGTATAACGCATCTCCCACTTAACCTGGCCACCCAATTGACCTGGCCACCCCCCTAGCCCATACAAATAACGTCGGTGCGCTAATCACGTGATAATTTA